GAGTAGAGCCAGACATTCGAAAAATACGGGTTCCAGATAGATTTTCAAGAGATTTCTTATGTCTGACTAGACGCTGACTCGAACTACTCACGTCAAAATATTCTGCGTAAGTAGTAATATCCGAGTAGAGCCAGACATTCGAAAAATACGGGCCCCAGATAGATTTCAAGAGATCTTCCTATGTCTGACTAGACGCTGACTCGAACTACTCACGTCAAATATTTTACGTAAGTAGTAATATCCGAGTAGAGCCAGACATTCGAAAAATACGGCTTCCTGATAAATTTTAAGAGAATTTTCTTATGTCTGGCTAGACGTTGACTTATATTACTTGCGCCAAAATATTTTACGCTAGTAGTAACATCCGAGTAGAGTCAGACATTTGATATAGAACGCTTAGTATACGATAATGTGCATATTTTTCCGTCCCACTTTGCACAGACTGCGGACTGTCAAACACAGTACTTTATATATACTGTTTTTGGTGTGGTTAAAAAATATAGCACAATAATACATAGTATACTAAAACTATTGTACTTATATATATATATATATATATATATATATATATACATATGTATACATATATATAGTAGTAAATATATATATATAAAATATATAATATATAAACTCCATTAGATGTCTATTAGACGTCCATGCGACATTTAGTAGATGTCTGGATGGATGGATATTTGTGTGGGTAGATTATATGTAATAGATATATACAATGTGTTATATATGTAGAATATATATTATGTACTTGTACGGTTTTCTAAAAAAATAGATATATTTAAATAATAATAATTTATTTATTTGTGAGGTATTTTTGTGTGAAATGATTAAAACGTAAGAAGAGACGATGAACTGTTATTATTTATGTATTTGTTAATGTCGGACAATGTATCAATAAGATTTGTAAATAAGGTAAGTATTTATTTATATATATATATATAATTATATATATATAATTAATTTCTAATTAGTTTTATTTACTTATTTTTGTATTACTTAATGTGACATAGCAGAATGAAGTTGTAACAGAAGCAATGTAATCGGGATAAGCGCGAGAAGTTATATATAATACATATATATATTATGTATATATATATATATACTGTTATATATTATATATAAAAGAATATATATAATATACATAGTTTATATATACAAATATAGCATCCTATATGAATTTAAAAAGTGAAATTTCAATTTAAACTTACGTGTAAACATTTGCACGTGAGTAAAATAGAAATACATGTATATAATACAGTAAAATATAGTACATATAACAAATATGATATTTAATATATATATTATATATAATATATATAATATATATAATACATGTAATACATTCGTCTCTTCTGTAGAAATCTGTAATTGAGTGATTGTCATATTTGTGTTTCGGTTTTTTCGGATTTCATATGACCGACCCTATTCTCAAACCAGTAATAGACTATAATAAGAATTAGGATTGAGATTTGATTGAAATTTGATCATTCAGAGCAACTCAGAGCATATATCTTATTAAACATGAGTTTAGTTTTCTTTATTTTACTTTGAACTTAAATTGAATATCAATCTTAATTCATAATGTGACAAACTACAAAGTTCTTGTACCACGTAAAAATTTTAGCGGCGCTAGTTAGCAATGCTTAGTGACCTAAAATGTCTTTTGAATATCAGCCATAATGTGACTCTTATACACTCGATTCAAATAGAGAAGAGAATTTCGAAGGACAAAAACGCGTTCGTTTCGCGCACTTCCCCTGACAAAAAAGTCTCCCCACTCCACAGCCATTGGCTGTCGGCAAGTGTCCCGCCAATCCCGCACGCAACGCTATCCCTACTCTCCCCGCTTTTCTTCTCCTATGCGCAGTAAAATTCTCTTCTTTAATTGAATCAAGTGTAGCTGTGTTCCAGAATTGCTGCACCAGCACGCTGCCAGTGCTAAAATTGTGTAATATATGTGACGCAAATTATAGATCTTTAGCGCTGGCAGTGAATTTTGGAACACAGACTATATATATACGATGTGTGGAGTCTATATCTAATAATTCTTTTTAGAATTATAAAATGTACGTTTTCTTTACGAAAATTACTGAGACATTGGGTGCGTTCAGACAACTCAACGGTTGAGAGATCATCACTTACGATAGGACTATTCTTCAAAATCTGCGGCGGTTCCAAAAGTACGATCCAATCAGAAGTGATTATCTCTCAACCGTTGTGCAACGGTTGAGTTGTCTGAACGCACCCATTATTGATACAACTTCGCAAATAAATGCATAAACGCACGCATCTTAACTCTCTGCTGAAGGTTCCAATATAAAATCTCGCACAATCATTACATGAGCATTTTCATGTCCATTCATGTTTTTATAAGGCCTGGTTTATGCGGACAATAACTGTTAACTTATGCCGGAACCGGTAGAGTTTAACTATAAGATTTTCAATCACTTCTGTTTATACGCATCCGGCAATTTCGTATGAACAGAAGCATTAAAATTCTATAGTTAAACTTTACCAGTTCCGGCATAAGTTAACAGTTATTGCCCGCATAAAGAGCCGTCTACAATGGAGAGTTGTAGGCCGTAATAGTAAGAAATTGACCAATCACAGACAAAGTACAGAAGAATAATCGATTGTGATTTGTCAATTTCTTACTGTTATGGCCTACAACTCTCCATTGTAGACGGCTCTTAAACCAGGCCTAATAGCCACGTTCAACAGAATACAACCATTAACGTTGTTTCTACAACTTTCTTTTGTCTGATAGGACTATTCTTGTAGATCTCTTATTTTCAAAAGCCTGTTAAAGCAATAATTACAAAACAGTAACGTAAAGTAACGTAAACAGTTGCGTTCTGCTGGATGCAGCTGATCTGTCACTAAAATGGCGAATGGGCGTGTTGACGGGCTCTAGCCGGTGCAAACAAAACCGTTACGTTCCGTCAACGTGACCGAATCTTTAAATCTCAAACGTCACCGATTTTAAACGCTTGATTGCTCACTTTGCGGAGCAGTGTGACGCGCTTTTTTACTTCAGAAACGAATCAAACGAGAATAATTAATTCATCAAAAACCTTAGTGATAAACAAACTACAAATCAAATATGTTACACGTTACGTAATAAAAATATAAATAATAAGTCAAATATATGTTGTTATTCACCTTTCATTTTAATTTTAAACGTTTTTATTGCAACAATTTTTAAAGCAGCTCGCGCGAGATCATAACTTACAATTTATTATAACTTTTACATTTTATATTCATAGTTTGCACATACATTTGTACGATATCTATTTACATATGCGACTACATGACGCTACGAATTTTTGCTTGCTGTGAAACTCTCGTGCCAATACGACAATAGGAAATCACAGGACAGGAAAGAAAAATACAAAGCAAGGCGATTAGGATGAACAACACTATTTATTTGACGAGTACTCTTGGTCTTACAAAAACTGGAAATAGCGAACGTGGAGTATCTCATACTTGTAAAAAACAAAAACAAAAAAAAAAGAAAAAATCACTCGACTTACAAATTACATGAAATGTAGGAACGAAAAAAACGCTATCTATCGAAGTTGATACATGATATCAGTCATAAGAGAGATATTATATTATTATTATATATATTATTATATTTAATTTGAATCCTTCTTCTTCTTCTCCTTCTCCGCGCTCTTCTCCGCCGCTTTCTCCTGAAGCGCCGGCTTGCCGGTCTGCTCGATTCTGATCGCCCGCTCGTTCTGCGTATCCGGTTTGTCCTTTCTTGGAGCGGTGATGCTGAGAACCCCGTCCGACGACAAACTGGACGATATCTGATCGATATCGCACTGCTCGGGTATCAGATACTTGCGTACGAACTGACGCGAGATCCAACCGTGCTCGTCCTTCTGTTCCTCGTGTTTCGCCTCGACCACCACGCATTTGTCCACCACCTTAACGTTTATCTCCTCGGGTTTGAACTGCTGCACGTCCAAGATCACTTGGAACTTGTCCTTGTCGGCTTTTACGGTGGACGTGCCGCCTTCCTCCTTGCTGCGCAACAACTCGCCCCAAGGCCGATAATAGAGCAGAGGTGAGGTTCTCACGCGGCGATCACGGGGCACAACGAAGCGCTCGAGGATGCTCGGACTCGTTAGCTGATCCGGATAGATGCCCAGACCGAAGTTCTGGTCGAAGATTCTGTGAGGATGTTCCAAATCCTCCCACCAGTCGGAGAACAACAGCGGTACCAAGGACATGTTTGAATATATTTTATTTTACTTTTGTCTTCTTCCGCTTGCTTGACACACAAAAGCGAGTAAACGAAACTCAGAGCGCAGATATATAAGCCGGTCGAGAATATTCGCTCGATTAGGAAACGTCGCGACGAACTCACGTGACTTCTCGTTGCGATCGCTTTCTGTCGACTGTTGCCACGCCGGCGCGGCTCGCGTTTATATACAGTCGCGCGCCGGCGAACAAAGATTCGCAAAATGTCCGGTAACTGCTAGAACATTCTCGGGCTTGCTCGCGCCGCGCGAGAACCGACTCGAAATTTCGGGATTGCGTATCTTACACGTACATACGAGCGAGTGATGACTCCGCTCGGTCACGCGACTTTTATCATCTTTTTGTTTTTTTTTTTTTTATCTCTGCGCGTTATTAGAGAGACAGAAGTTTTTGATTTTCGCCGGGTTTGAAATTACATCTGCGATGTAAACTGTCAGATAACCGACCGACCGATCTTTCCCCACGACAGAGGTCGAAAAGAGAGAAACGTCAAAACCTGTGTTTGTAAATACAATCACGTCACACGATGCTGAAAGCTGTTTGACAAATCGCACGGCAATTGTTAACGCAATTTTGTGCGTTACAAGAGATCATCACAGTCTTCGTGACATTCTTGTAGTCTTGATATAATTTTTTTTTTTTTTAATATAATTTTGTTTTATTTATTGCTGTTAAAATTTGATTTCTACACACTTTCTCTCATTTGCGGTTTATATCTCTAATGTGAAAGTTTTGCGCATTGAATATTTGTATTTTACCGCTCCGGTCAAGTTAAATGATTCGATAATTATCGGACTTAAACACAAAATAATCGAATGGAAAAAACCAGCTTCTTCAGACTCTTCCAAAAAGTGACAGTTGTATTTTACACACGTCAACAATGATTCGACAATGAAATTTATTATTGAACGTCATATGAGAGAACGTATCTGGATAACAGTTCCAGATTTGTTTGTTTAAAAAGCCACCGCGAAGACGTGCGCAAGATCAACAAACATTCGGATAAAATTTGTTATCGCATCTGACAAGGTTCAGGGGGAGTCGGTGTGCAAAGCGAGGACAGACAAAAAGTTATGCCGTACTTTATTTAAAAATAAAGTACAACAAAAAATCTCTCATTCTCTTTTAAATTTTAATAAAATCGCACAAAACCTGCCCATTTGTCTGTTTTTCTTTCTTTCTATCACCTTCCACACCTGAAATCGTTAAAGTGCTAGCGAGCGCATGCGTGAGGGGGGGCAGGGGGAGACTCTCGCTCTCATCGGGATCTGGCCGTGGAATCAATAAGCGCACTCGACTTCCCAAGGCGGTCGATATATTCCCCCACGTAGTGGGAAACGTAAACGCAATGAAATTATTATCTAGGGTTTGTTCGCGTCGCACGCCTCGACACACGCTCCTACTCGCCCCCCCAAAAGGGGGGGCGCCCTGACAGCGAATTCGGTAGCCCGCATTACTGCGCGCTAAGCGCGACTTTTTTTCTTGAACAAGTTGAGATTAAAAAAGTTTTGAAGTTTCGTTGAAGTTTCGTTGAAAAAAAAAAAACGCGTTGGAGCGAACAGGAGCGTGTTGGGGGTAACGCGACGCGAACAAACCTCTATCGTCTGCTACAACTGGTCGTATTGTTGGGGTTTTTGGGGGGTTTGTTTGTCCGCGATCTAGGGAAATGTAACAAGGAGCCTGATGGCACGTCTGATGATCACACAATTGCAGACGTCTGTGTGGATTTGTCCCTCCGAGAATCCCGTACACGCGATTTTCTCAACACCTAGGTCCCGATGAGTGGGGGACACGTCCGAATTTTGTCCGGCTTTTTTGGATAAATTTTACACAATTGATCACCTTGACTCTAACGTGTCACATGTACATATTTCGCGCTCGTGAGATTTTTCACTGAGATTTTTTTTTTTAGACATTTGTTTTTCACACACGTTTTTATTTGGAACACCTCTGTGAACGACACCTCGACCTGGAAAAATGAAGGGACTTCTGCGTGGCAAGTTCGGGTGAGATTGACACGTTTGTTTTCTTGCGCCAGTTTGCAACTTGAAGTTTAAAGTTCAAGTAAACTTGCGCGTTTTTTTTATCGCGCACGAATACAATATGTTTTTCATTGAGTGATTCTGATCAGGAGTTGAGGGTTAGGATAGATGAAGATAAAGATCTTTTTTTTTTTATTGATAAAAACGTGCTCTTGTTTATATACGTTACATTCCCACATTTTTAATTTCTTATCTTCTTGTTTATTTGAATTTTTTTATTTCTCTTTAGATTTTTTCATAAAGAACAGAGGCCCATCTTTGGGATTGCAACATAGAATTGTTTCTTCGTCTTGTCTGGTTGAATTTTAATGTGTTTTTTTTCTTTGTTTTCAGTCGTGGCATTCTGCTGGTCTCCAAAACTTCTAGATACCAAATAACAGTCATCAGTTCTAGGAAGCTAATGTCTGAGAAATTTACTAGGTACTACAAGCCACTGTTGGTGTCGCCGCATTTGAGATATTACGCAAATCCACAACGGGGATATGCCATGGTGGTAGCTAGAATTTTAAGAGGAGCATTAAAGATTCGATATCTTCTTTTGGGAGGTGCAGTGGGAGGTGGTGTCACTTTGCAGAAGGTAATACATCAGAGGTCTTATGCTATTTAAGTGGTTTTTTTTTATCTTAATGTTTAATTCCAACGCATTAACTGTGTATTCGTGATGAAGAGAGTGATTGTATACTTGTAAAAAGTTGGGGAGAAAATTGTCTTACAATTATATCTTTATGTACAGAAATATGAACAGTGGAAAGATGGACTACCCGATATAGGATGGATACAGGACATGATGCCCAATGAAAAACAATGGCAGGATTTTCGCGAATCCCTTATGATGGTCAAAAGCAATACCGTGGACAAAATTGAGATTGGTATGTACACATAATTCTTGGATTCACACGTGGATCTTTTATGTGAAAACGTGAGGCGAGGCAAGATGCGTTGGGGATTAGGGCGATAAAAAAATGACAAATGTAAACAGATCCACGTATAAAGGAGTTTGGGCTAGCTAAGTATCAAGAATATAAGACGTGGTTTGATCGAAGGTTGGACGACGCTATTAAGGCGGCAGAAAGCAATCAGAAAGAGTACCAAGAGAACAGCTCGATACACAGTGAGTCGATGGAGTCTCAAGTAGTCTGTGTTCTCACGTCCTCTTTTTCATTATTCTTGACTTCGTTCCCGTGTTATCCTTTGTTCGTCCAGTTTTGTTCCTTGGACATCCTCTGCCTTACGTTTTCCCGCCGCTCAACAATCCAATTTCTTTGATATCGCTCTACTTTTACATCGTACATGCATACCATGCGAAATGGTATTTCATTTCACATGTGACACATGTACTGAGTTTTCTCTTCATTTGCAAAAGCATGATAACCTACTTGCACGAATATGGGTGTTCGTTTATCCGTTTGTAACGTTTGATTTTTAAAAGAAAGTTTTCTTAATAATTCATTTTTCTTACATAATACAGAAATTAAATTTAATAACACTACTGTATATTAGATTACTAGTACAAAGCTTCATATTCAGAAGAGTATGTCTTTACAAGTAAATTGTTCTTAAAAAAAAAAAAAAAAAAACACTTTAGAAAACTTGTAAGGAGCAAACTATTATTTATCCGTTTATTTTATATGCGAATGTTGTGAATTTATTGTGGTATCTGTTCTGTTCAGGTGCATTTGATACCATCTCAATGGTAGCTAAACAAGCTTACTCAGGTGTGTAAAACAATTTAAGATGTATCAATTCTTACGCATTTTCTTTTGCCCATTCAGCATTTTGTCGTCGAAAGAGTCGTGGGTGAAAAATCGATATATATATATATATATATTTCTCAAATGTTGTAAAAAGGAGACAAATCAGTTAGCTCTCCGTGTATATACGGACGTAAATTGTTATACATATTGAAAATACTGAATGGGACATCGTGATCATCATCTTCGCTTCGTTCATTTGATTTGAGCTTACATGTATTTTGCAGCAGCGTCGTGTTCATTTTCGTTTTTTTTTTTTTTTTATTTTATTTTATTTTATCACGCTCGCAAAAAAATCACCCGAGCAACACACTAATTCTTTGTCATCGGTTGATACTAGCTTTCTTGCAAAAAACAAAAGCAAAACGAAAAACACAAGTTGCAAATTGTCACAAGTCGTGTAAATATGTGTGATATCTTGTTTTTTAAGCAGAAACAAAAGATCAGTTCTCCAAAAACGTGGTCGCCTTTGCACGTCCATTGGCCGGCGATAATGTTAACGAGGAAGAACGTAAGAAAGCTCGTACGTACATGTAATCTCATTAATTAATCGCAATCTTTTTTGGCTCGCGAGCAAATTCTTCGCGAGCGTTCTCATTTAAAATTCGTCCCGTTCATTTTTTATTCCCCAAAGAATCATCGCAACAAAGAATGGACGCGATGCAAGACGAGGTGATGCAGATACAACTGAAATACCAACGTGAGATAGAGAGATTAGAGAGGGAAAACAAAGAATTGCGTAAGCAGATACTTCTGCGAGGGAGTCAGAAGTTCAGCAACAAAAAGATCAAAGTAACTTAACTTGCGTGCCACCTATAACGCGCTATATATATTACGCGTCTGTTTTCTCTCGTAATCGTAAATCACAGGCTCATCTTTTCGTTTTTTTTTTTTTTTTTTTTTTGTAGAAGTCACTGATTGACATGTACAGCGACGTCTTGGATGAGCTCAGCGACTACGACAACACCTATTCTACTGCTGATCATTTGCCCAGAGTAGTGGTCGTTGGTGACCAAAGCTCCGGTAAAACCTCCGTGCTCGAGATGATCGCACAGGCGAGGATCTTTCCAAGGTGCGGTTCTTTCTGATCATTTTACGTTGGCAACATAGAGCTTGTACTCATGGAGAGGTCATGCGAGCGCAAGGAGGATCGACAAAGAGAAGATATATTTTTCTGTTTCAATTGTGGCCACTTATAGAAGAGAATAACAGAGAACACGGGAGCCACAGTTGAGACAAAATATATCCAAATATATCTCTCTTTGTCGAATCCTCTTTGCGCGGCCCTCTCTATGGTTAGCATATAGGCATGGCCTCCTCTCCATGAGTATAAGCTCTATGGTTAGCAAACACGTGCGCGCGTCATAATTAATCGCTTTGCTTTAATATTCAGAGGTGGCGGCGAGATGATGACGAGAGCACCGGTCAAGGTCACATTGAGCGAAGGTCCGTATCATATAGCGCAGTTCAAAGACAGTTCGAGGGAATTCGACCTCACCAAGGAGTCGGAACTGGCCGAGCTTAGGCGCGAGGTTGAGCTGAGAATGAAGAACAGTGTCAAGAACGGGAAGACGGTCAGTCCGGATGTAATTTCCATGACTGTGAAAGGTCCGGGTCTTCAACGTATGGTTCTAGTCGATTTACCCGGTATTATTAGCGTACGTATTGTTCGCATACAAGCGACGCTTCAATAATAAAAAGCTCCACTTGAAGAAACTTTTGCAAACTGTTAGCTCATGAAAAAAAACTTTATTTCGAGACAGACTGTAACGGTCGACATGGCGGAAGATACTCGCGAGGCGATCAGACAAATGACCCAGCACTACATGAGCAATCCAAATGCGATAATTCTCTGTATACAAGACGGTTCCGTCGACGCGGAGAGAAGTAACGTGACCGATCTCGTAGCCCAAATGGATCCGTCGGGTAAAAGAACGATCTTCGTCTTAACAAAAGTAGGGATCGATGATTTTTTCTCTATCTCTCTCTCTCTTTCACACTATGCTATCAAAGCGTGACTTGTGCGCTTAAACGAACGGACGCAAACAAAATTGCAGCAATTACTGTCTTGCAACACAGGTCGATATGGCGGAGGAGAACATGGCCAATCCCGACAGATTGCGCAAAATATTGTCCGGCAAATTGTTCCCGATGAAAGCGTTGGGTTACTTCGCTGTGGTTACCGGTCGCGGCAGACAGGACGATAGTATACAAACAATTAAGGATTACGAGCAACAATTCTTCAGAAATTCGAAATTGTTCAAGTGAGTTTTCTCGACAATTGAATTAGAAAAAATAATATACAAACAAACGTCGACATGACGCTGAGACCAATGTGGTGTCGTTAAACGAGAATCTTTGCAGAGACGGTCTAGCGATGTCGGGTCAGGTTACCACAAAGAATCTGAGCCTGGCGGTGGCCGAGTGCTTTTGGAAAATGGTTCGCGAAACGGTGGAACAACAAGCGGACGCGTTCAAAGCCACGAGGTTCAACTTGGAAACCGAATGGAAGAACAACTTTCCGAGGTAGGTAAATTTGATAAGTGCTCCGTTCGATTCTTCTGTTACGCTTAAAATATGCTGCTCGCGCTGGTTTCAGGTTGAGGGAACTGGACAGGGACGAGCTCTTCGAGAAGGCGAGAGGCGAGATTCTCGACGAGATTGTCAATTTGTCGCAAGTGTCGCCGCGACACTGGGAGGAAGTGCTGATGATTCGTATGTGGGAGAAGGTCAGCATGCACGTTTTTGAAAGCATCTACTTGCCCGCCGCTCAAAGTGGAAACCCAAGTGCGTGCTCTCATGTAAAAATGACAAAGTCGTTGGCTGAATAAGCGGGAAAGATTCGCAAATGTGATCTTTGTTTTTTTTTTTTTGTTTTTTTTTTTTGCATTGCAGATTCGTTCAACACGACCGTCGATATCAAGCTGAGACACTGGGCCGAGCAGCAGCTGCCCGCGCGTAGCGTCGAAAGCGGATGGGAGTGTCTGCAGAAGGAATTTCAGAAATTTATGGCGCAAGCTCGGCTAAGTCCGGATCACGACGATATCTTTGACAACTTGAAGAACTCGGTTGTCAACGAAGCAATGAGACGCCACTCGTGGGAGGAGAAGGTAAGGAAACGCAAATCTTTTTGTCTCTCGCGATCGGAGACCAAGATCGATTTTTTTGTTTTTCTATTCAGGCGTCGGAGATGCTGCGCGTCATCCAGCTCAACACGTTGGAAGACAGAAGCGTGAACGACAAACGCGAGTGGGACCACGCGGTTCGATTTCTGGAGAGCTCCGTCAAGGAGAAGCTGCAGAGCACGGAACAGATTCTGCGCGACATGCTGGGTCCCAGTCGCAAGGATCGATGGCTCTATTGGCAGAGCCAGACCGAGGATCAGCAGAAACGCGCGGCGGTCAAGAACGAGCTCGACAAAATTCTCTACTCCGATAAAGTAAAAGACGAGCGAAGCGAAGACTCGAAACTACTTTCTCTCTTCTACCACCCGGATGTTTCCCGGATGAATTTATCTGATTCCGCAATTCTCATTCATTTGCAGAAACACGCGCCCACTCTGACCCACGACGAGCTCACGACCGTGCGCAAGAATTTGCAACGCAACGGATTGGAGATCGACAACGAGTTCATTCGGGAAACTTGGCATCCCGTTTACAGAAGATTCTTTCTTCAACAGAGCTTGGCGAGAGCGTACGACTGCAGAAAGGGATATTATCTGTACCACACCGGTCACGAATACGAGGTACTTACTCACACGTCTGTGTGTAAGTAAATTAGAAAATTTTAACGTCAATCAGTTTTTTTTCGCGCAATTTGAAACGATGAGTTTTTTTTTTTTTTTCAGATGGAGTGCAACGACGTGGTGCTGTTCTGGCGAATTCAACAAATGCTCAAGGTAACCGCGAACGCGCTCCGTCAACAGATCATGAACAGAGAAGCTCGAAGATTGGACAAGGAGATCAAGGAGGTTCTGGAGGATTACAGTCAGGACAACGAGATCAAGGAGAAGCTACTCACGGGCAGACGAGTCACACTAGCCGAGGAACTCAGTACGCGTTTATTTTTACAACACGTGATTTTTTAATTGCCTCGCAACCCCGGTTGTTGCCGAGAAAAATTATCGCGTGTCTTCTTTTTCAGAACGGGTCAGACAGATCCAGGAGAAACTCGAGGAGTTCATTCAAGCGCTGAACAAAGAAAAATGAACGCGGCAAGTGTCAACAACAACAACAACAACAAAAAAACTGAACATTGAGCTGAGTGTCGAAACCCCCCGGTGACTTTGACTCGCTAATTAATTAACTCGACGGAGGTGCACGTGGGGGGAGGAGATAGGTGCGGAGGATTCTCACATTTCGCGGAGAATGTGAATATGCGCGCGGAACATTGCCGCTGTTTGTTTGCTTCTCGGGAATTGAATTATCGATCGAAAGAACGCCGAGTTGACGCGAGCAAAGTTTGTAGAGAAAATTACGATTTAATTGTGTGATGTATAAAAAAAAAAAAAAAAGTAATTATAATATATTAATATATTAAGCAATTATATAAATGATTTACGTTCTCTTAGAGCGATTTGATATGTGACGGTCTGAAATCTGTGTAAAAAAACTATCGACGTTACGTCGAAGACTGATTGTTTCATCGAGGTGATTTGTTGCTCCGCGCGCGAAGGTACGCGGGCAAAAAATTTATTGCGGCGATGGCGTTGCGCGATCATGTTGCGGAAATCAAATTTGATTTTATTGCGCGGCCAGCGTAAAAGCGAAAACAAATGAAGAGAATTTGTTTAATTCGCGAATACGCGTAGTGGTAGTTTGTACGTAGAAAAAAACAAAAACAATTTAAAACAATTGAGACTTAAGGCTCGTTGAAATTGTCAAAACAATTTAATTGAAACCTAGGAACGTGCTGTTAATCGGAGATGAAAACGAGAGAGAGAAAAAGAGAGAGAGAGATCAATCATCTGTGCTTCGAATGCGAATCTTGAAAGTCGCGCGCGCGCATTTCCCTGTTTTGGGAAAATCTTTCAAATTCTCGTTGAATTCGATTTTATTAGCGGCTAAGGGTTTGGAAGGTGTACACGGTCCCTCACAGTTAAGTCGGTCATTATGTGCACACACACACACACACACAGCCCGTGACATCTTTGGAAGAATCCAGTAATACCCTAGTGTGAATATTATACGCAAACTTACCGTTTTTTCAAGGTGTTGATTCACCTTTGTGTCGATGACGAGAAGCTCCTTTGCACGTTGTGTGTGTGTAATTGCATTTCTGTGATACGAAAGCAGCACTCGAAACGTGACACGCACGTGCTCGGAAAAGTGTCCGATTCAGACTAATAGCGAAAAAAAAAAAACAATAAAAAACAATAAAAGGTCATTCGCAAACAAAGTTGTGTTGTTTTTCTTCTTCTCACCTCCAAATATTAATTTCAATTCTCGTTTGACTTGTGTGTTTTTGTTTTTGTTTTATTTTAAACAAGGTGTGTCTCAACGAGCGGACGTTTATTGGGGAAAGAAATGTTTAACAAAAAAAAATACCATAAAGTTGGAAACTAATTAAGAGTCTTGAAAGACACCAGGACACTAGGGAACAGAAGAATTGTTGCGATTAAAAACAATTAAGACTTAAGGCTCGTTGAAATTGTCAACAAGAAATATATAAGTATATTCAAAAAACACTTGTAAAAATTTACAAGTAAAATTCGTTACATGTATATA